ATGATGATTTTAAGGCTATGAAATATTACAAGCAATCAAAGAAGGTATTATATATTTATTGGGAATATTGTGTAAAGATATATTTTATTTATATTATTTTTTTTTCACTTTATTTAAGGAAAAACGTGATTCATCCATAAAAGAATCAGTAATTTTAACATTAACAACAAACAATAGCGATTATAAAGATGCAAAAAAAAAAGAATGAAAAAAGCTGTATTTGAGTTTTACAGAGGAGCTGAAATGCTGAAAAAGTATAGGGTAATTTTTTATTTCGTAAATTAGTTGTCATATATGCTATTTAAATTTATAACTGATGATTTTCTGTAACTCATTTAGACTGTCAATTACGCAGGATTTAAAAAACTTCTTGAGAATTTTGATATGGTAAAATGTCAAAAATTAACTCACTATTTGATCTGTTCTCACAAACTAATTAATAACAATTATTCTATAATAGATTACGAGATTAAATGGATATGATATTTATATGCAAAAACTTAACGAATCCAGTTTTGTAAAAAGTAAATTATTAGACAAATTAATGAGAGATACTGAGGTAATTTACTATTATAATTTTTCTTAATTTCCTTTTATCGATTATATATTAATTAATTAACCCTATCTTACTACATAGTATATATATTCTAAACTTTTTGGCGGTAGCTCTCGATCACATGCAATAAAAAAACTTCGAACCCCTGATCGACAACACAAAGTAAATAGTTTCTATTCGTATTTACCATATTATATATTTTATATAATACAAATATAATCTTTTTTCTTTTGTAGATATACTACCTTCCGACGCTAAGATCAGGAATATACATGGGTTTAGCAGCCTTTTCCTTATTCAATGCCTTTAGAGCTGGTAATTTTGCATAAAAAAAAATTCATCATATTTGTTTTCTGTATTTATTTCCTGTATTTAATTTATTAATATATTTTAATATGTATAACTTTAATTCAGAAAATGGAATTCCTCAATTACTATTATATGCTGGGTTGATTCTTCCAATGATTCTCTTATTACTTATAGGTGCTATGATGTTTGTTTGGACAAAAATACACATAAATTACAAATTTATCTTTGAATTTAATCCAAGAAATAATTTGGACTTTCGTGAATATATCGAGGTAATTAATTTAATAATACTTTATTAAATATTAAAAAAATATCTTTAATTAACTTCTTTTTAATAGATGCCATCACTTATGCTTATGTTGATCTGTTTCTCAATGTATTCGGAAGCTACCAATTTATTTGGAATTAGCTATTACTACTATCCCTTAATAGCGGTATCTTTAATAATCGCCATTATGATATGTCCATTTCGAATATTTTATTACAATGCAAGAT